TCAGCGAACTTCCTCCAGGTCTCCCATCTTTGGCACATAAAATAATGGGAAAGCTGCTCTACAGCTGCCCCTCCCTCCATCCGGCCATATCCTTCCAAAGCTGTTTTTGCTCAGGTAGGAGGCTTAAGAAGGTTAACAGGTCTGCTCCCTAAGTTTGATTCCTATTTCTCCTCCCATATTTACTAGGGATTCTCTCGGAGCCTCTCACGCTTGGCTTTTTTAAGTGTAGAAAGGCACTTCCTTCCCTCCTGGCTCCTCTAGACCCACAAGTTACGACTGCCAAGATCCTCTCCCTCTTCCCAGGCCAGGCTGAGGAGGGAGGTCGGGAAGACAACCAGGCAGAGAATGCGGATGGCTTTGGTGGCAGGCGGGGGAGCCAGAGTTCTTGGGCTGTCTTTCATAAACCCCAAGACAGGTATTTCTCTTCAGATTATGAGGTACTTGTCACCTTACTCTTTCAGCTTGGACCAAGTTCTCTGTTCCAGGAAATCAGGAAAACTTTTATGCACTATTACAGATATAAAGGTCATCAAGATAGTCAGTAATGGTGGAGTGAAAGGTTCGAGTTGAACAGAGGAAAATGTCATCTGTTGGTCAAAGAACCTGCAGTTTGGCCAGATTTGCTTACCTGGTAAAGAAGCATCCAATTAAAGAAGGGAATTTTAACATGGGCTAAAATTTAATTTCTTAGTGAATAGGGTACACAATTTTATCCTAAAATTTTTATACATGGCTAAAAATTCTTTCCAAGACTTAAATTTGAGTACACTATTATTTTTATTTTTAACAGTTTTTCTCTACTTTAAAAAATAATGTATGTTTCCGGCAGAAACTTGAGGAAATACAGAAAAGTTTCAACAAGAAAACAAAACCCAATCTAGAACTGAATGGCTGAGGGGTAATCAAGTTTGGTGGAGAAAGAATTTTGATTTGGGAAATGTAGTATTTTATCATAAATGAAAGATTACACTTCATCTTGATTTTATCTTATTTTCTGGCTTGGAAAGTTGTACAATGGGCACATTTGGGGCTATGATATTTGGAATATGGAATTTAACAAAAAACAATAAGGCTCAGAGATAACAGAAATCTCCCCTTTGCTTTAAATAAGCTCACTGCAGTGACAGTAAACGTTTATCCACAAGAATAAACTACGAGGACCTGTTCCCTACCCTTCATTAACGCCTGCGTGCCCCTGACAGGGCCTTGCTCGAGTGGTAACCACCACACATGACTCTGAGATCTCACCCCGCTGGCTGACAGCCACCAGGGGAGGGGGCGACAGCCACAGGCTGGAAGAAGACTCCTCAGGTGAAGACACCCCCTGCTGAGCCCTTGGGAATGTAAATTTCCTAGCATCTGCGGTGTTTCCTTTTTCTGGGTCCCGCAGATTGAAAGGCAGAGCAGTGTGCGGCAGCAGGACTGCAGGGAGCCAAGGAGGCCAGGTGCTGCGGGGCCACAGCCCAGGGACGAGGCTGGCCACCAGGGGTCCTGTACCAGGTGGTGTGAGGACTTCTTTTCCTGAAGAATTTGTCAGCTAGAGGGGGACTCCACTATCTTGAAGCTCTCTGTTTCACTCAGCCCTCTCTTCAAGATTTCCTGATAGTTGTTTTTAACTTAAGAAACAGAAGTGATCTTTTCATCTCCTTAGGGTGGTTTTGGATTTTTAAACTGAAGCGCATGCAAGTGAACAAGGAGTGAAAGGAGAGAAAGGACTTCCGGCATCGTACATGAAACTCTCAAGCCCTGGGTAAGAAAAGGTGATGCACTTTTGTTACTACTTGTTGAGAAACTTCTCAGAAGAGCAAGTATAGAAATAATAGTAATAATAATAGCAAATATAGAAACTTTTTACTGCATGCCAGACATTGTTCTGTGGGCTGAACATAACAGTAGCTGAGTCCTCACAACTGCCCTGTGAGACATCTATTACCCATGTCCCCATTTTATATCTGAATAGGTTAAAGCCCAGAAAGGTTAGGTGGACAAGTCGGAATTCAAACCCAGGAAGTGGCCTTATCTATGAGACATGGCTGCTCCTGATGTATTGCTTCAAAACCAAAACAAACTAAATACTCATGTAATCTGTGACTTTTCATGCAGTAAGAGGCAGTGGATAGTATGGTTAATTGTACAGACTCTGCAGTCACACGCCAGGCTCACACTATAGTTATGGCCATGACAAAAAACAGTGGCTTTTCCTTGGGCTGCTCTTATAATCTCTCCAAATGTGAGTTTCCTTATCTGTAAAATGGGCCAGATAATGCCTATTTTAGAGGGCTGTCTGGGGAATAAAATAAGATAATATTTGAAAAGCACTTGGCATAGGGCTCAAAAGAATGGTGGTATTCGTTACAATTCCTGATATTACTGTTGTATTAGAAACTAAGGGCACCTCTGTGTTGTATCCTGCATAAAATAGTATGGATTATCTCATTTATTAGGGGAAATTCCACAAAGTGCAGAGAAATGTGGGGGTGGGTGATGATGAAGGGGAGATACTCAGGAAAGGAAGGAGAGCCCACCATAAATGGAGAGGGAGATTTTTTTATCCCAGACAAAAGTGAAAAGAGAAGTGTGAGAGGTGAAAGGAGTCTGGGGTGACCTCAGATGCTGTGTGAGGCAGGACTGACTTAGGGGCTGGGAAATGGAGCCACTCAGGATGGGAGCTCAATGGGGTCTGGTCTATGCAGGAAAGTTCCAGTATCCCTCGCTCCCTCAAATCCTGCTATTCAAATCTAGGAAGAGAACAGATTTGATAGAGAGGAAGTCTTACGAGAATGGAGAGCAAACCAGAATCAGAGCAAAGTGGGCAGACTGCCTGGCCTGCAGCTCGACCATACGGAGGATTTTAAGAGACATCTTTCTATTTTATAATTAGCAGGTGACAAGAGGAATGCTTTCTTCCACTTTGGCATTCTTCCATTCCACTCTGGAATGTCCAGCAACAACCCTGGTGTGCTATCATAAGATTTCATATTCTGAACCATCTCCTGTTGTGTCATTGGTACGTCAACCCTGAGGTAGTCTGGAAGGGAGCAAAAGCCTGTACCTTTTTGATAACAATTATAATCCTTGGATTTATATAATGTGACATGATATGAGGGGCATTGTTTAGCATTTGGCATAGCTGTGAATACTGTGGGCAGAACACCAAAGGAAAAAGCACTCTGAAAGCTTTCTCAGAACGTATCTGAGAGAATTTGCTGGTTAATGCAAATCCATGTCCAAACAAGTACTGGTTTGCTTAGGGAATATGCAAAGCTGGAAAGCCTCACTTGGCATGAAGAGCGTGAGTAATGTTTCATTTTAATGCGGGATCTTGGGGGTCTATAATGAAAGCTTTGTGGTATTTCCTATGCATCCCTTTGGAACATGGACTGATTGTGCCCACAGTAGAAGAAAAGCCATTGGAAAGTATGTTGTTCCTGAATTCTCTGGAGCCCTACTAGATTCAGATAATTAAACGGCATAAATGAATTCACAGAAATATATCCAGAACTGCCAGAATAAAAAATTTCCCTTCCCACAGGTAAGCAAGTATGAGTGCAAAATAATGAGACTATGTTTTTTGGGGAGTTGAGGGAGGACATTTGATTTTTAAGTGAATGCTATATGCAGGTGCAGATGTGTTGTAAACACTGTAGTATCCCTGGAATACTTGCATAGCTTCCCTACATGATTCTTCTGAAAGATATTCACTTGAAGATCAAGTTCACAAAAAACCCACATTCATTTTTAAGACATAACTTCGTAGTCACACTTACTTGTGAGCCCTCATTATTTGGACCTTCTCTATCAGAGAAAGTCAATATTTGACATTTTAGGTACAAAAAAAAAATGTAGAAAGTAACTAGGAAAACAAACATTCTTTAGTCTTTGTGAACCATGTTTGACTAGTTGATGAAATGGCAGATGGAGTGAGCATTACTGGGGTCTTTAGTCTGTATATCCCCTTAGATCAGCCATGAGATGTGGTTTCCTACAGAAAATTCCTTTTCTTTTGAGATCTGGAGCAATATGTGATGATCTGTGCTAAGTATGTAAAGTACTGTATCGATCTTTATTTTATATTTCTGGGCTGGCTGGAACAAAACACTCAATGGAGACTGGGCCTCCCAAAGTGCTCCAGGATTTTGGCGGGTTGAAGTACACAATTCTAGGGTGTTTGGAAGAATGTTATGCAGTTCTTCAGGCTTAAATGAGGGGGTGGTGACCAAGAACTCAGGATAAGAGAGCCCCAAGAGGCAGAAATGCTGCTGGGAGGGGCCTCTTCTGTGTGTGCTGATATATCAAAGATGACTTGGAATTATAAAGAGATATAAGGAATTCTCTCTCTTAAGCAATTTTGAAGCATTAAAACATGGTAAGAACTTAAATTATTGTGCAGAAAACTCATCAGACAAAAACTCTTGTTATCAGATAAATTTAGCACCTTCTACTTGGGACATATTTGTGCCCAGTAGGCCAAGTGGAGATTTTTTGTGATTTATTTACTCCAATTTTTAATTGCTCTATGTAATAGCTTATTATGGACAGGTTTTAAACTGACTCAGGAAAATGTACATTTTCACTTGTTTCCGATGGAGTTTAAAGTCACTCCACTAAGAACTCATTCTTCTGTCCTCATTTGCATTTGCTGCAACTCTCCCATTCCCCAATGAAAGCAACAACAACAAAAAAATCTCAAGCAAAAAAGCCCTTAAGCAATAAAACTGGTGTCCAAGAAAAACATTTAGTTTGAAAAAGAGTTGAAAAATGTAGCCTTGGAAGAACCACTGCTTACATGGGATTGTTCAACAAATTCCTGTTGTGTGAGGTTTGGCATATACTTTCTAAAAATACAAGCATCTGGGGAAATGAGACAAAGCCCAGGTCTTGGACCAAATGAGGCACGCAGAGTGAATCTGTTAGTGATTATATCCATAATGAAATACGTGCCCAAATTTAGCAGTGCAAAATCTAATACAATATGAGAGCCCAGCAGGCACTGTCCTTACCATAATATATAGCCAACAGAGAAGGTACATATGGCGGCGAGTCCACTGCTCCTGCTGGGATATGCGTGGTGCGATGTCCTCATCTCAATTAATATAAAGGGCAAAACCGTTGTGTGCTGAAAAAGAGCAGAGACCAGGTGACACAGCGTCTCATGATTGTCCCTCAATAGTTGTTCTGTCTCCGGCAGGAGAATGAAGAGTATCAATTCATGGTAAAAGTGCTACAGCAGAGAGTGGTATGTGGTTGCCAGAAAGGTAGAATGAACATGAAAACATGTTGTGCACCAATTACTCCATTGGTATTTTTCTTCTGTATATTAATTTTTAAAATTTTATTTCATTTATGCCTGTTTCAGGAAATTTCGATAATAGGGAAAGGTATCAGAAAATTGGAACATAAGAAAGGAATAAAAATAACCTCTGTTAAGATACTGGTATATGCCCTTTCCCCTCTTATTCATATTATTTATACATAGTTAAGATCATAATATTCATGCAGTTTCGTCTTGGATTGTAGTATGAGAGTTTTTGATATGCCATTTTAGAAATCCTAGAATAGCAACCCCGACCATTGCTGCTTAAAACTCCCTTTTATAGATGTACCAAAATTTATTTAACCAATTCTTATTTTTGGACATTAAGTAAGGGCTTTTCAATTTTTCATTTATTAAAAATTTCTTGATGAGTATCTTTTGTAGAAGTCTTTGAATGTCTGAAGGTTAAATTATTTTCTTGTAGTCAAAGTCCATGAACATTTTAAGGCTGGTGATACACAATGCCAAAGTACGTGTTTACCAGTAACAAGTAGGTAAATAATGCCAAGTTAGCTTCCAGAAAGGATGCACCAGTTTGTATCAGCAGTGCACAGATTTAGATGCGATGTTTGAAGACAGACTCTCAGAAGCTAAGTGGAGCATTCCCATTTGTTTTTCAGACCCAGTGGCTACTCTAGATACTTAGTTCAGTGGGCCAGGATGGCAATGAAATTTATCCCCTCCACATGGTAAAAAGAAAGGAAAGTCAAGTACTCTTGGTACTGAAATCTGGAGGACAGACATAAGGGAGCTTCTCAGATGAAACTGAGTCAGGATATATTTACCTTCCAACATTGGAGAGCTTCCCAAGAGTGAGAAGATGGCAGAACTGAGAACTGAATCATCAGCAACTTTGAATTCTATTTCATTATCTCCTTAACTGCCATGAAAGAACTTTTGTTTTGCTCTTGCTATATTGTTTGCATATTTAAAGAAAAGGCAAGAAATTGAATATGATTTTCAAACTCTAGTAAGTATTGTAGCAAGATGGAACCAGGTGGCAGGTGGGCCTTGGCAGGAAAGACATGGTGAGGATACCAAAGTGAATGTATTTGGAGCAACTTATTGTTTATAGGTATAGGAAAAATAGAAAGATAGGGTCTTATAAGACATATTAAGACAGTGGAAATTCTTTGCCTTAAACATTCACCTCTGCAAACAGTTCTGACTGCCAATATACTTATTGGTAATTAGGGTATGGTATGCCCAGAGTGTCAGATGGGTGATTCCACAGTTCAATAACTTTCTATTTTCTTATTCTTTTCTTTTCTAATATTGTTTTAAATCAGTATAATTAGCTCGGAAGGGAACCATACAAAATATATATGTGTTTTAATACACAGTATCCATTTTAAAGATCTATTTTATTTCATTTTTCACTACAATTTAGGCACCTCAGTTCACACTGGTCTAGAATTTCACCAACAATTGGAGATGCCAACAATAGTTTTACAGTGGTACATTCATGTAGAATTCAAATATACAGCTAGCAATAGGCCAAGTCTTATCATATCTTACATAGAACAAAGATCCCAGTAAATCACACATTAACACTGAAGATAATGCGGACTCTGATGGCCTGTGTGGGTTATAGAATGATGATGATTTTTTTGACTTGTTAATATTAAAAAGTGTCTGAACTCTACCTCTTCAACCATTGCTACAAACTGAGCAGAAAATCATCCACTTTTCTATAAGGTTATAGAAGTTCAAACAAATAATCTGCATAGTCTTGGTTATTCAGTATTATTTTACCTATAATGCTACTGATGATCAGGTGTTGTACCTGGAAGGGCTAGATGTATTTTGATGATTTTGATGATGCCAGATGGAAGATCTCTTTGAAAAATGAAGATATTTCTTGATTATGCCATCATTTGCATCATGACCACCAAAGAGGAGAGCTAGTTGCTCTATCAGTGACATAACCAAGGAAACTTTAGCAGCTCAGAAGCAACTAAGAAACCTAAGAACAAAGAACCTAAGAAATTTTAGCAGCTCAGAAGTAACTCAAAATCTGTGGCAGCAAGAAGGATAATTATTTTGGAACTATAGGCACAAGAAGTCCAGCTCTAATCCACTCCCAGGTATGCTCTGCTTCAGTGACTTAAGAACCAGAAAGGAAGTATTTTATTCATCTTCATTCAAGACCATCGCTTTGCAAGAATGATGATCTTATGTTTTGTTCACTGTGGTATTTGTAGCACTTAGAAAAAAGCTGGGCACATGGGAGGTGCTCAGTAAACACCTGTGGAGATATTTTAATCTTCAAAACAATATCTTAAATGGGAATTATTAACTTCATTCTGCCAATGACGTAAGAAAGACTCAGAAAGTTAATTATCTTGCCCAAGATCACAGAGCTAGTAAGTCAGGAGGTAGGATTCAAGATGGATTCTGTATGTCCCCAAATCCATTCCTGTTTCCTACTTTAGAATTAAATATTTAAAAGATATCAGAGTTAAATAATCTTTGCCTAAATAAACCTGCAGAAGTATGTGATTGATCACTTAATGTTGTCCCTTAACAGGACAGAACTATTTTGTGGTTGAGCCTTGAAATAAAGAAGGTCTTCACTGTAAAAAACATTCTTTTCTGTGGCATACAAGCACTCAAAATAATAATAAACAATAAAATCAGCTGGCATAAAGTCAGAACTTTTCAGCAGTGCAATGACGGTTAGAGATGGCTGGAGGCAGCTCTTCCAGCTTTCTCCTTGGAGGTGGCCCCAGGTGCCACTTTCCTGGTTGTCCTGAATCTGGGTTCAGCTGGCATCTGCCACCTCCTGCTTGTCACCTAAATTTGACCCCGAGATGAAAGCTGTGTACCTGAAGTGCATGAGCTGGGAATTCAGTCCCATGTCTGCCCTAGTCCCCAAGATCACTGCATCTGTCTCTAGAAAAGGTTGGTGATGATATCTCAAAGTATGAGGCGACTGGAAGGGTCTGAGGGTGACAGTGAAACTGACCAGGACAGGCCTTGATTAAGTGATACCTTCTGTCTCTGTCCTTTCATCAAAGCCCTTCAGAAACCACCGTGAGAAAGAAAGAAGCAAAAAAACCACAGTGGAAATGGCACTTTGGATGAGATTGCCAACACGGCCTGACAGGCACAGCACTGACTTGTACAGCCAGGGAGCTCTTCAGAACCCTGAAAGAGGACCTGGGGACTGCCCAGTCCGTGGGCTGCAATGCTGATGGACACCACCCTCATGACATCAAGGGTGACGCCAACAGTGGTATGGTGAATGCCCAACTACTTAAGAACTACAAAGGAAAATATTCAATAAGGAACATTTGAGAACTAAAAAAAAAGCAGACTTAGGAATGACGTTTCTATTCCTCAGCCACAAGTACCTTTTAACTTGGTTTCTCAGAGAGGTGCAGATACACTTCAGATAAACAAAGAGATAAAGTCTGGTTGCCAGAGGGAGCTCCTAAGAATTGGGTCTGTTTCCTCAAGTGCATTGTCATAGAACAATTGCCCTGTAGCTGATTCACTCAGGTTTGCTTGTTTTTTTAGGTATTAAGTACATGAAGAGTTGACAGCCCCAGGAGTCAATGCTTGATTTACCCAATAAATTCTGTCCTAGAAAGTAAGGGTCTAATATGTAAGTAGTTACCCTATTCCAAGCTAGGTCCGTTTGGGTGGGTTCCCTCTATGGAGCAGTGATTATTGTCCCAAACGGACCAGCACCCGTGGCAAAGGTCTACCTGTGGAGGATCCACCAGGCCATGTCACCCCCACACAGAGGCGCTCAGATCTGAGCAGACGGACCCATGACTTAAAAAGAATCAGGTAAGAAAAAGGCTCCAAGGAAGGAGGAAACAGTGTAGCTAAATGAAAAGATCAGGAGGCTGGCATGTGGGATCTGGTTCTGACTGTGTCCCACCTCCAAGACTCTGGGCAGGTGAAGCTCAGTATCATTCTTTGTAAAATGAAGGAGTTAGATTACATTAGTGCATCAAACTTCAGTCATGAAGAGCTAATAGTTTAAGTTTTGTTACGTCACATACCAGGGCCCACCTGTGCCATAGGCACTCTAGGCAGTACCCCGGCCTATGAAAATGTTTTAATTTCTTTTACAATTAGAAGGAAAAAAAAACTTTTAGAGTTGAAGATTATGCTCATCTTTATGCCAATGCATAAGATATATGGATGTGTGCATGAGAGAGATAGAGACAGAGACAGAGGAAGGAAACCACCAATGCAAAGTGCCTGTGTCCTACAAGGCAGAAGTTATAATGCAGCCCTGTCATGTGTTTCCTGAGTTTTTTAAAAAAACTTATTTTCTTACTCAATTAACATTTTTTCTTAAATAAATGTATTGAAAGGGAAATTTATGTGACTCAAACTCTCATAAATAGAAAGCACTTATTGTAAAGGGGACAACCACAAAAACAAATACAATGAAAACTAACCGATCTTAATAAATGTTCACTGGCTATGTTCACTTGTTAAAGGCTCTGATTCTGAGACTTGCTCTATATGTATTAAGCAGGGATGTTAGTAAGCATTAGAGGGACTTTAAAGACTCACTCCTATGAAATAAAGACTTTTCTCAACAGAATCAGAAGGACTGAGAGATAATTGAGAGGGAATTACCTTTTCACTCTGTGATTCGCTATTATTTAATGCCAGGTCCCTGTGCCACATACCAACTTCCATACCATCAGAGCTATGCACTGGAACAGATTATCTATAAGCTGTAGCCGTATTTTCTAACTGCTAAGTTATTTGATTTATGAATAGATGTTCTTTTTGCCAGGAAAATTGAGAGACAGATGAGTACAAAGTTTAGA